AAATTTATTAGTGTTAATTAATGCTTGAAGGTAGAATTATGCTTCTTTCAATTGGACCCATTAAAGGGGCTTTAATATAGATTTGCACAGCAAGCTGAAGGTTTTCAAGTGCAGATAATGAGGCAAGCTAGTACTATTTTAACCCCTCTGGAGTATTATCAGTTGATAAGGTTTTGAAATGTTACAAGGTCTAGGACAAAAAGATTAGCTTTAGTTCCTCCAGATCAAAATTGATACCTAATTAATTAACAATGTTATGGAAGACAGAAAAGGTTTATTGCTACTTTTACACGTCTTTAATTTCATCTCCTAAGGAAAACAGGTGAAGATATTTTAATTTATCTATTGCATGAACAGCAGATGACTGAGTTTCCTGTTACCACATTATCCCCTAAACTAATTGTTTAAATTCACAAAATTTAATGCATTCTTCCAAAAACCTCGCCTTATTTTAAAAGACAAAAAAAGGACCAGTGATCTATTTGAGACATACACAAATATTATAAATCAAATACACAGGTAGGAAATGTTTCCAAAGAAAAGGGAGAATGAAAAAAAGATATCTGCAGCAGTCAGCCTTCTGAAGAATAATAATTAAAATTCTAGGATAGTGAGTTATCCACTTAAAGGCAGAAGTTAGAAATTCTTTTCCTTGAAACACACAAGAAATTATGTATATATGGCAAGGATACATCACTACTGAGAAAAGTGTTTTGAATCACTGTGTAAAACAAAAATGACAGTAATAAGATCAGTATAGCAATCTAGCCACCAACCTCAAAGGAATAAGATTTTTACCACACAGCATTTAGAATAAATATGTATATGCCAGATGAGGCACAGCTGTGACTATCAAGACCAAAAGTTACCAATCAACCAATTACAAAGACAAGAATTTAAAAAAAGGAACAAAGAAAAATACAATTAAAAACTGCAATACAACATATTTAGTACTAAATTTATGTGCAATAATAGATCAAAAAACCTTAAGTGCTTTAATAAATACTATATTTATTTGAATCTTGGAATGGTACATTTTGAAATGCTCCACATTATTTCATATTTAAAATGTTTAACACAATATGCAGTTATACAATAAACTCATGGCAAGAAGAAGAGTCTTATACATTCGTCTAAAACTGAAGATCACACCATTGTAATTTAGGAAAGGTGCACAACAGACTGAAGTCATACTAAAGTACGTAAAAGTTCAATGCATGTACTCTGTTCCAAAGATATTAGACAACAGAAGTTTTGCAAAACTGTGATTAACACTGATTTTTACCCTTAAAGCCACAAGTTCCATTCTCATGAATATTTGAGCACTTCTTTTCCCCATTTAGGTTATACAAAAGTGATTAAAGACCATATTACTCCTCAGTCATAAGTTTCTAAATTAATTATTTTAGTTGATTTTCAGTAATATCCATTAAAATGGAAACCCTTCAAACAGTTGAAATATCTCATTAAAAATAAAGCTAATTTAGCTCTCAGTATTAAATAACTACACGCATCTCACCTAGGGTGTGGAGAATATGCTTATTTACAGTAATTTTAAAAGGGCTCTTAAGCATGTCAGGACAAAGTCTAAGCAGAATACAAGAGAAGAAAGACTATCTCATGTTCTCCTTCTAGGGTTGTTTTGTTGTTTCTGGCAGCAATATCAGCTTACATAAATGTCAAATTATGAGATACATCATTGATTTGCCTTTTTTTTCCTTAGTCAGCATGGACTCATACAATCAGCTGTTTGGTGGCCACTCAGAAATTCCTAGTAAATAAATACCCTATGACAAATGATATTGTTGCAACTGATCTCTGTATAATGGATGAAGGGGAGGGAAAAACAACAGAAGAGATGACTGGATAATCTCACCTTCCTAGACATAACAGAGTGGTAGACTGCAATGCGCCTTGAAGTCTTGCTGTCTACACTTTACAGAAAAGAACATTCATTGTCATTACTGTCAAAACTCAGTTTTACAAGCAACCTATTTGCATGTTAAGTACACAACTAATATCTTTTTCTCCTTAGATGAACAAAGAAAGAACAAATTCAGAAAAACAAAATAAATGAGAACATTGTTCTCTATGCCAGCTCCCGTCTTTGATTACCAAACCACAGAAACCACTCCAAAAACTCAGAAAATGATCCCCCTCTTGTTTCAATCCTTGTGGCATCCCAGCCAACGGATGAGGCAAGGTCAGAATGACACCACCTTTGTATACAGCTTTTATATACAGCACTAGCCGTTGGCACCATCCAGTGCCCTTCACAAGCGCCCCCCCAAGGCAATGATACTCTAAGAGAACCTATTTGAAATGGCTGTATTACAACATGCATTAAAGTTGTGACGATCATCAAAAAAGCCGCTTCTGTACTCCTCATCTGTTAATTCCTCCCATCCTGTTGCCAAGTCCTCCTTTCCCAGCTGCCACTTTTCCTTTGTTCTAGCTACATTTTCAGCCTCTCCCCACTTCCAGATGGTAACTGTATCACACTATCAATTTCAGATTCCTGATCAATTTCAATTTCAGCTTCTGAAATTGATCTGAATCCACAGACAGCAATCTCATGGAGACGCACACTACAGGTTCAGAAGTTGCCACAGCAGGCAGCCCTTCGTAAAACCATGTTACTGCACACAAATTCTTATAAACTTCTTACACAAGTATTTTCTCTTTCAGCTAAGGATAGGGTAGAAATGCAGGAATAAACATGCATTGCTGGTTTATAAAAATGATGTACATGCATGCACCCGCCACATTACAAATCACACCTACAGCCACGAGGACATGACAACACACTGAAACTCCAGCCAGTGCTGTAACACAAAATAAAAGGATGAATAACCTCATTTCAGTGGTGTTTCTTATCAGGCAGCAGGTGTGTCAAGTTTATTTTGAACAAACCAGAAGTAGGTAAGCTCTGGAAACCCCAGTTTACATCACTGGCTACACAACTTATCTCAATTCAAGCAAGACCCTAATAAAGGCCATCAGAAATGTGAGGAAATTCACTAATGATCTGCACAGTGGGGCAGAGTGCACTCAGCAAGTTTGCTGATGACACAAAACTGGGAGGAGTGGCTAATACTCCAGAGGATTGTGCTGCCATTCAGCAGCTGGACAGGCCGGAGAAATGGGCTAAAAAGAACCTCATGAAATTCAACAATGGGAAACGAAAAGTCCTGCACCTGAGGAGGAACAGCCCCATACAAGCTTGTATGCTGGGGTCCGTGCACCAATACATGCTGGGGGCTGCCCAGCTGGAAAGCAGCTTTGCAGAAAAGAACATGGGGGTCCTGGTAGACAACAGCTTGACCATGAGCCAGCAAAGTACCATTGTGACAAAGACAGCAAATTGTATCCTGGGCTGCATTAGGCAAAGTATTGCCAGCAGGTCAAGGGAGGTGATCCTTCCTCTCTACTCAGCACTAGTGAGACCACAGCTGGAGTACTGTGTTCAGTTCTGGGCTCCATAGTACAAGAGAGATATGGAGCTACTGGAATGAGTTCAGTGAAGGGCCATGTAGATGATTTCGATGCTTGAGCATCTCTCCTACAAGGAAAGGCTGAGAGAGCTGGGACTCTTCAGCCAGGAGAAGAAAAGGCTCAGGGGGAATCTCATTAACGAATATAGATACCTGAAGGGAGCATGCAAAGAAGACAGAGCCAGGCTCTCTTCAGTGGTGCCCAGAGACAAGACCAGAGGCAATGGGCACAAACTCAAACACAGGAGGTTCCCTCTGAACATCAGAATACACTTTTTCACTGTGAGGTGACCGAGCACTGGCACAGGTTACCCAGGGAGGTTGTGGAGTCTCCATCCTTGGAGATATTCAGAAGCCGTCTGGACATGGTCCTGGGCAACTGGCTCTAGGTGACCCTGCTTGAGCAGGGGTGGTGGACCAGATGACCTCCAACCTCAACTATTCTGTGATTCTATGAAAAACCATGTATCAGTCAGCCTTTTATCCGCAAGAACTGCAGGACTTAGACACCTGAAAGCACACCCTCGACCTTTGTCTGTGTTTTTGCTATCAGCTTTATTATCTGTGAAGTAATTCCAATTCTTTTTCTCTCCCTCCATATCACACTTGGTCTGTTTATGACTTTTTTCTTATTAACATTCCTCGTAATATGGAAAAGCACATTCCGTTCTCCTCAGTCTTGAGAAGGTACTCATTTGAGATTTATGGAGAAAAGGAAGGTGCTATGTTTATTGTTCTCTTGTGTTTATTTAGTATTTGTTAGTGTTGGATTTCATAAGTATCTTATTTCAAATACTACGAAGGGTTCATAAGCTTTGATTACTTTTCAAAGAATTATTTTGATTTTTAGAAAATGAGCTCATATTTCCTCAATTTCACCAGTGGCTTGGCTCAATACATGGTTTTCATTTAATTTTTTTTTACTAATATACAGCACTCAGTTTTGAGTGAACAGTTCAATAGAGAATACACGACATAAGACTTAGGTATGACATTCTGGATTTGTCAGTATTGTTTTATAGTTTATGCTAACAGATAACTTAATAAATATTGTTATAGGTTAGTAACACTAAAATATATAGCCTGTATTGCTTTTAGGATACTACATGTTTAGTCCTCATTACTCTAGAAATGTTTTATTTTTGTTTGTCAGGATGGCAAATCTTTCCAAACCACGGACACATTACAAACCTAAACATAGTCAGAACTCTTCTAGATTAAAATCCAAGTTTAGGTCAGTCCATTAGGCAAAATAAGGCAACGAGTTGATAAATTTTTTCAGAAAAAGTTTCATCTAAAATCATAGGAACTTTTTAGATGAAAGGTCAACTTTTGAACAGCTCAGAAGACTTTAATTAATACTTTATCAGAAGGTTATCGTCTCTGAATCCCCTGCAACTTTCACCTTAAGACACAACAGCAAACTATTTTCACATCTTAGGAAATATAAATTTGATGTCAATGATAGGAGTTTTCTTAACTGCTGTTTTTAAACATAATACGAACCTGTTCTAGGGTTTCTATTTTGCTGTCTTTGGCTTGCAAAATCTCTAAAACCCTTCTGTCCTTGACTTCAGCTTTCTGCTTTTCTCTGGAAACAAACAAAAAAACCAGACACTTTATTAGTCATAATTTGTAGTTAATCATTTGAATTTTTCATGTCCTGATAATGAATGTCATTTTAAAGCACAGAAAATTAAATTATCTGAAGCTGACAGGCCTTGCAGAATTAATCAGGGAGCATATGGCAAATGACAGCAAATTACATATGTAAACAGCTAACACAACTTTGTTCAAAAAGAAACAGAAGCAAGAGGTCTTAAAATACATTTTTAAGCAGCTGAAATTATCTTTCTCATTCTTTCCCAAATACAGAAAGTGTATTTGTCCACAGACCGAGCAAAATGCTTTTTCCCTTCTTGGCAATGTAAAGCCACTAAGCTGCTTGGGTTTCTGAAGTCCTTCTCTCAACTACATGGCATTTCTATGTCTGAAACAACACTTTCAAACATCATCGATAGCTATTTTACTATTTTTCGCCTGGATAGAACCTATAACTTTTATCAGGGAAAAAAAAGACAGCTCAGAAGCTTGGATAATGGGGACAAGCAGAGCCTCTCTATGTGGTTAGTAAGTGCAGGGCTATAATCATCTCTGCAACATTTCGTAGAAAACCACCTGATGCTTTGTTTAACAAACCACCTCATCTCATTGCTATCCTATTTCTTGACTGAGTTTTAAATGTTGATGCCCTTACTGGCTTCTGTTTTAGGCAGAAAGAAAATAAATGTTGCAATAGTAGGGATACACAGAGATTCCTTAGCACAAGACAGTTCCAGCATATATATGTGACAAAAGGTCTGAGAAACATATATTCCCTAAAAATGGCCAAATACTTCAGACATCCCCAGCACCACAGGTGACAGAGAAGCAGAAACTCATTCAGATTACCCCTGCTCTCAGAATACAGTTAAACTTCCATTATGGCTGGATATAAGACACCCCTAGAAGCCAGAGAATCCTACTTGCACAACTTCTGCTCTACCAAAATAGGAATGTTTCAGAGGTGGAAGGGAATGGAAGAGTGGTACCCATGAGTCTGTAAATCTGATCAAAAGCAGATGACAATATCCAGCTGGGCACAAAAGGCTTCATCTACTGAAGCATTTTGTAACAGAGACCAATAAGGATAGTGGATATATGGGCAATTATTTTTCTCCACTATTATGGATTACTGTGTAATTCTACTGTTTTCAGTGATTTTAAAGGCTAAACTAGACTGTCCCCACAGGTCATCCAATACCATGGTTTTTTAAATAAAGTTCTATAACTGCTAAAATAGCTAGTCTGATCTTAAGTAAATAGAGAATTAAATAAAAATGGTATGGAATTTAAAGCAAGGTTTTTGGAAACCGAGGTCTCAAGGCATCATAACTGTAAGTAGCGCTCTCCTACTGCAAATACAGCAGCACTGATGTGTTGTAGCACTGGAAGAAAACTAAGAAAAACCTAGCTAAAAAGATATGTATTTAAATTACATTTATCTAGGAGAAAAAAATATACGGGATCTTAAGCAGTTGTATGCCATTAAAAAAAGTCTACTTCCATAAAGAAAATAATTCAGGAGCTGTAATGAGCAGAGAAAAGTGAAACCATGAATATTCATCAAGTATTGCAAAAGACATTTCATGTCTGAAAGGGGTATTTAACATTTTAACTGAGACAGAAACTTAACAGAAAAATGCACATCAGATGCTGACCTCAAAGCATCTGATCACCGGCAATCAGAAGCGTCAAGGAATTGTCGTGATAGGTTGCTAGGAAGACATGAGCAGTAAAGTATATAGTACAGCCAGTTTTTCATAGTTTCTCTTTGAACATCTACTGAAACTGAACTAAGTAGACTGCAATTACAGAGATCCATGCAAATATGAAGTTATCTGGTGTATTCCAAAGGTTATACTGTGACATCCTTTGAAAAAAAAACCTAAGGTCAAAAAAGGGAGCACAAGAGAGAAAACAACAAACAGGTTCGATAACACATGACAGTTAATGAAACTCACCCACCCTGCTTATAATGCATAACTAGTTTACAGAAATCATATTCTCAGTCAGGTTTTAAAAAAAATGGTAAAAGACTTTCTGATAAGCTTATAAAACTTTGTACTAAAAGATACTGGACAACTTCAAAAATTAGGAGTTAATAAGGAAAAATGTCTGTGAATAGATTATTTGTATAATACTCACCAGAGAAGTTTGTGCATGTTCATGAAACATGTGTACTGTTCATGACAGGTACTGTACATTATTCCACAACTTAAATGAACCAAAAACTGCTCCAGTATAAAAATACCAATGCTTCTTCATACTTAATTACTTTGTTGTGGGGTCCTTAATGGCTATCAACAATTATCCTTTTTCAAAGATAATAGTTGCAGTACATAAAACGCAAATATTTTGTGAAGAAGGTATCTCTCTCCCATAAGCACGTTACACCATAATCTATCTGAGGAGCTGATGGACCTACATTAATCTATGTCTAAACTGTAAGCATTATAGCATTCCAAATTTCCTCAGGTCTTAATTACAGCCAGACAACTTAAGAATTTAAGATTAGACACATGCATAACTGCTTGATCCAAAATTTTAAGAGCCTCAGAATTCAAAAAGCAAAGCAGGTCTTTACTACAGAGTATTTAGAATAGTAATGCGTAGACACAGAAAGAATCATACAATGCACTACGCTCACACACAAACCCCATGAACCGCTGAACAGCATTGCCTCCAGCCCTCAAAAGTATCCTGACCTAAACCACTGGCTGACACATCCTATCCATTCTTTGTTCCCACAGTGATATATTTCCCTTTCTATTTTAACTCAGCTGTTTTTATTTTACATTTCTACTTAAATTAAACCATTGCTCTAACCACTCATTCTATATCTACCATCCACAACATGCCATTGTCTTTCCAACTCCTCTAACCGCTATCTACTCGCACAAAGTCAGCCTTTTTTAAAACGAGGCCCAATTAAATACAAATACTGGATAATTAGCCTCTTAACTCAGCTATGCAATCATCACTTGAAGATTTATTAAACTTGTTTTCTAATGGATTAATTGATCTGAAAACCTGATGGGTCAGGTAGATTTCCCAAAGCAAGGCTCAAAAGAACTCTACAGTTGTAGGGTTTTGGGGTTTTTTTATTTTAAAGAGAGAACAGGAAGAAAGTGAATAAACCAGCCAAGAACCAAGCAAAAGAACAAACTGCTCTGGAGAACTGAAAAATAGCATGCACAGCTAATTCTGGTGTATTATTGGTAGTCAAGAATTTATGGAGCCCTGTGACTTTAGGAGAAGGCTGCACGAAAGAGGTCTGAAGAATAAAGTCTGGGATTGGAGAGTAAAAACAGACCTTTGTTAAAGCAAAAAATGTGCCTGTAACACAGGCACACACTAGCCAATGGTTCAAAGTGCATTTCTAGTTAAATGTAGTATTTTCCCTGTTTATCCAATGCTCGGTCAAAGAGTCCTTCAAACAAAGCTGCCAAGAAACAGAGTTCATAAATACAGATCTATCGTCATCATAATGAGTGGGAAAGTCTAAAGTAAATTCCAGGGTCTTTTGGCTTTCTGAGGTTTTCTTACAGACTCTCAAGATAGCACAGGCTGTAGTAATGCCCCCAAAAATAGTTTCACCAGTGACCACCCATAGCTAAAGAAAAAACCCTAATTATCATAATTTAAGCACACAATGGATGTTGTCAGAAGCCTAAAGCATATATTGAAACCTCATACGGAACTTTATCAGCAGCTTCTCCTGGTGGCATAGGACAACTTCCAATGCTCGTCACAGGACAGTTCCCCACAGACACTCAAGGTAGTATGACTGACTTGAACTTACACATCATATTTGGATCTGCTGTTGCGCCTTGAAATGAGACTTGTTAAGTCTTGCAGCAATCCCCTCCTCTTTTTTAGAAGGGTAGCAAATATGAAGAAAAATCTTTGACCAACTTTATTAATTGAGCCATTATGTATTTACAATCTATTAAAAAAAGTCCACTGGAATATGGGGGGAAAAAAAAATTCAGGCACTGTCAAGAAGCTGATGATGATCAATGACTGAGACAAACTCCTGTTTAGCTAATTAGAACCGCTGATGAGCAATAATGATGTGAGCTAAGAATATTTGCAGACTTCTTTAGGATGAAAAATGGAGTGAAGAGAGGCTGTCAATTTGTACAAGTTTTAAGCTCCAATCAGTTTTCCCACGAGTACTACCTATTTTAAATGTTTAACACAGATGTATTTAGCTACAAAGATTATCTACATTCAGCTTCCCACAAAAATGAAGAAACTGAGAAAATACTCTTAAGCTTAACATTTTTCCTGTGTTATGATTTTTTTTTCCTGTGTTATGCTAGACCTTACAAAACAGGACAGGATAATATTTTTGAGGTTTGGCACATTTTTAATGGCTTGTCAAAAATGAAACATTAGACTATGAGGAAACATTTAACTATGAATGAGGTACAAAAAACAGAAAATGCACTACAAAAACCTTAAGATTTTAAAAAAACAGAAGTTTGTTGAAGTTTATAAAACACCATGCTTCCTAAAATCTTCAGCAAAAGCAGTCTGGGAAAAGAAGCATCTTGTATCCTGCCACAGGTCTTAATCAGTCAAGCAATTAACCATTTGTCAAGAAAAAGTAATTCAGAGTTGTATATAATTATGTCATTTTTATATCAAACAAATGAAAATAATTTTAACTAGTAAATTGAACTTGCTGTTTACAAGGTTTCATGGAATATGTTCTTTCAGTTTTACAAAACAACAGGATTAAAAAAAAAAAAAACAGCATCTACAAATTTGCCCTTAAATAGCTAAGAAAGTTAGGGTTACACTGCAAACTTTGGGCTGTGTGGTAAAAGAACAAAGGGTATATTTTAACAGTATACCTATATAACTAAAAATAAACTGCTTCTAGACATGTTACCTTTGAAAGATACCTCTTTGAATCTAAAGGGCTGCAGAACTAGAAAGGCTACAAAATATCAGCTTGTGTGATGCAGCATTTAATTTGAT